TAATTAAAAATTAAAATAAAGAAATTATATATAAGAAGAATGTAATATTTTTAAATTTATATTTTTAAATAATAAATTTATAAAAATAATCTATAAAAGCATATGTTATCCATTGTAGGAATATGAATAAAAATATCAATAGATACCTACATGAAAATATATAGCAAATAGTTAAAATTATTAAACTATAATTTAAATATACAGAATTTTAAGATTTTAAAACATCCTGAATATTCATATTTTTAATTTATCTTCGAAAACTTGCAACATTTCACATAAAGCTTTAATTTTTATGAATAAAACTATAATGAAGTTTATAACAATATTTGTTTTTACATTGGCTAACCTGTAATTGTTCGTTTACAGTCTTACCACCATTTCATTCTATTTTATTCTAAATTTCTTTTTAAATCATATGTATACACATATACATAATCATTATGTTAAGTTATAATAAATATAGATGTAGGAAATAAATATATATGTATGTATTAATAATCAAATCTTGTAAATGTATGAAGAGAAAGATACAGTTAAATAAAAGAGAAAAAAGCAAATGAAAAAGTGAAAAAGAGAAAAAGAAAGAGAAAGGATAAGAGAGAGATACAGAAAGAGAGGGAGTGAACGGTGTTCCACTGGAGGCGCTGTGCAGTGCCAAAGGACCGCGGCGGCGGTGGTGATTCAGACTTCTTATCAATTTTGAAAAGTCGTGGAGAAGAATAGAGAGACATTCGTCGACATTGGGCGTCGATTATATGTACGAAATGAGGTACCATTGATAAGACTTAGAGCGCCGCGCGGTTCCGCCTCCGCCGTGCCCAAACGCGGCACATCACGGACGTGTGGATAAAGCGGCGCCATATATACACGATATACAATCGTATTTTTTCTTTCGGGAATGCGAGAGGATAGAAAAAGGGAGGAGTGAAATATCGTAAGAACGAAAGAGCAAACGCGATACTAATAAAGAAAATCGAGATAAAGAATAAGAAAGTGAAGAAAGAAAGAGAAGGAGTGAGAATTAGAGATCCGTGGATGCGGCGCGGTGTCTGCACCCGTGCGTGAATCACGCTTTCTTGAGGTGCCTGTGTATCCCTCGTCTTCGAGCACACCCCATACTTACATTGACCTGTTCAAGAACGTCGTTATTCTTCGCAATCGAACAAGGCTTTTCATAAATAACTTTTCTAAAACATCTTTCGTGGTGTCATCCACGAAGAGGCATTTTTGCTCCGTTTTGTTTTATATTCTTTACCGGTTATCAAGAATCTATCTGTTTGTGCTCGTGATATAGAACCGGTATTTTAAAAACATCACTTCAACAACATTATTTATTAAATTCAAAGAAACAACTTTTTTTTTCCAAAATAAAAGTGAATGGATCTTAGAATTTCATGTTTTCAACAGACTTGGTGTTTTTGTCAACATAAAAAATTTTCTGTGCACTGTGATTTAAACTCTTAGTCCTTTAGAATTTATATAACATAACAACAATTACGATCTTTATAAGACTTGAGCTAATATTGTTAAACAAATCTTCAAGTAAAACAATAGAAATACATTGTTATAAAATAGATTGACAACAAAGAAACAAAAGTAGATACAATATGTCAGATGAAGAAGATAAACCCCCTGCACCTCCTGTGCGACTTACATCAAATAGGTATTATCTTAAATTTATACTTTATGTTGCATTATCATGTATTATAATTTATTAATACCAAGGAATTTTAAAAACAAAATTTATTATTTAATATTAGAAATTTAAGCATATACTTAAAAATAAATATTTAAAATTTGATTCTGTAGTACTTTAGTTTTGCATAATAAATATAATATACAATATATTTTTGTATTATATCATATATGACTAAAAATTCATGAGTTTTTACATTTTATATTCTTATTATTTTCTTTGCAATAAGTAGAAGTCTGCATCTCCTAAAAATAGAGTAACAGACACTAATCTACTGGTTGCTAAAAATAAAATTGTACAGTTCAGACATGATGACATTCTGATGTGGGAGATCATCCTTTAAAGACTTTATATGTTATTTTGCTAACTATATTTTATAAACATAATATATATGCATATGTACATTATTTTTATATTAATTTTATAAATAATTTACATACATATGAATGATTATAATACTTATATACAAATTCATATGTATATGTATATCTATATGTATATTAAAAAGTAAAGATGTAATAAGTAAATATAAATTAAATATAAATTAGTTATATTTTTTTATTTTATTATAGTTATATTTTTTATTTTATATGATTTTAATTTAATAATAGATAATAAAATTATTTATTATGTAATTGGTATAAAAATTATTTTATAATTTTTATTCATATATAAAATATAGAGATAAATATATAAAAGTAAAATTGTTTTCTCTTATTTAATCAGTGTTAGTATTTAGATGAAATATTAAATTGATTTCAGAGGTGAATCAACACCTAACTTACCAGTGGATATGCGTCCACTACCTAAAGAACCTGATTCTGATGAACGTAAGAAAAAAACATTGAAAAGCAAAATGAAGGTAAAGGAAAATAAAGATAAACCCAATATTAGTTACCCAACTAATTTTGAACATACAGTTCATGTTGGATTTGATGCTGTTACTGGTGAATTTACGGTAAGTCAATTTATTATTTGCAATTTGTTAATATTGTTCAAAATGCACTCGCTTTCTGCTTTGCTATTATACAATGGTACGGAGTATCCAATAAAGTTTATAAATATATTTGAATATAAATATATTTGTATTTCATTATACTACTAGTTGTACTACTAATATAAATTTTTACAAATCTTATAATAATTTTTAATCAGAAAATATTTCTTATTAAATTTTTATATTTATTTTTATATATATATAACATTATTATAACATAATTATAATTAACATAATATAACATTATTAAATTAATATTTATTTCTATATGATATTTAATATTTGTTTTGTAACTCATTGGTTTATTTATTTATTAGTATATTGTATTTTATGAATAAAATAAAAAGAAAAAAATTTAAAAATGGAATAAATTGTAGCAATTCATATTAAATAAAATATCCATTTCATGATAAAATTATTTGTATATTTCAATAAATTAATTTTGTGTAAATAATAATAAATATATTTTTGCAAATTAATTTTAATTCATAATATCATAATTTCATAATATCATAAGATAACATTGTAAAAGCAACTAGTAATGTATTATTAAATATTAATTAATATAATAAAAATTTTTGTAAAATCATATCAGATGGATTTTTCGTACCTAAAAAAAATTGAATTTTCATCACTTGTTCACATGTGTATGGACATTGTGGAAAAGTAATTTGGTAATTTGTCTGATGCTTCTTATACCTATTATTTTTTCACATGAAAAACTAACTAGACACGTATTTCTTTCAAGCTGCCATTAAAAGTAAGTAATTTCAAATGACCACAAAAGTAGTTTGTCTGTATTTTTTTTATTATTATATATACACTTAATTTAATTGTTTGTTTTTGTTGCAATCAACAAAATTAAGTTTTTACTTATTATTTGAAATTTAGAATTTATAAATTAGAAGCATAGCTGCTTTAATAGATTAATAGATGCTTTAGTCAACGTTGCATTTGATATTATTGCTTTCTTGCAATAATGAAATTTAATATTAATTTGATTGCTTAAGATCTTACTATTTCTTC